TTGAAAAATTGTCACGTGAACTTCAGAAGAGCCGGAATGAATTAATGATTTGCAAATTGGTCCAACTAAGATTCATCTATGTTGGTTAGTAACTAGCTGTCGCCCGCGACTACGTCCGCGCGGTATTAAAAAATATAGCCTATGTGCTCTTCCAGACTACATTCTACATCTATGCTAAATTTCATCGAGACCAGTCGAGCCATTTTGGAGATACCTTCTAACAAACATCCATGTATCCAAACATTCGCATTTATAATATTAATAAATTATTAAAGTGGCATACGAGAAAAAAACAAAAAAGGGACCTCTGGTTTCAAGTAATTCCTGATTTACATTATGCCAGTACAGTTTGACAGTAGCGCTGGCCTTGGACTGTTGCTAACTTATGCCGGTTATAGTATGGCAGCGCAGATTTTAAGCATCACTGAACTACTGTACTGGAATAATGTAAACCAGGCATTTATGAGATTAGGCGATGCCACAGAGAAATAAAAGGTTGATATTTAAATGTTATTTAAATGTATTATTCTTTTCAATTTAAATTCGCTCAATTATTCAGTCAAAAGCAGTCATTTTAATAAGAACTGTAGATATAATGACGTCATTTTCTCACAATTATACTAAATTAGCTGTCGCTCGCGACTTAATTAGTGTAGCCTATGTGATTCAGACTATGTTCTATACGTATGCCAAATTTAATCGAGATTCGTTCAGCCGTTCTAAAGATATCTTCAAACACCCATCCATCCATCCACATCACATCCATCTAAACATTTGCATTGATAATATTAGTAAGTTAAATAAAAAGCAGCTCTTCAAGACATAAATTAAAAAAAATGAATAAATAGTATCCTATGTCCGTCTCCTAGCTCTAAGCTACCTCCTCACCAATTTTCAGACATATCGGTAAACCCGTTCTTGAGTTATAAATAGTGTAACTAACACGACTTTCTTTTATATATATAGAAGATTCAATGCTTATGTAGATTTTTGTTAATTTATCAAACACATATGAATGTAAATGAATAACCACATAATTAATATATAAACGTTTGCCATTTGCAACAGAAGGACGCGATAAAAGCTTTTGAAGGCAGTCGTTGTCGTTCGTCAAAATGTCCAAAAGCAATTGTGATTTTTACAAGCTTTGTAGTTGCACCTGTCCTGATGTTTGTTGCCAAATATTGCAAATTTTATGTGATACACTTTGCGTTTACCGATTAATTAAAATTTTCATACGTATGTAATTTGCGTGAGTCTTTAGGAACTTCACAATGAAAGGACAACCTCATCGAGTGCGCTCGTTTGAATCGTCTTAACCAGTGGTTCCCAAACTTATTTTGTCTACTGCCCACTTTGAGAATAAATATTTTTTTAGCGCCCCCATATTTTCAAATATTTAAAAACCACTATAACTTCAAATTAAATTATTTAATTATTGTGACCTATATATGTATATTAACGGAGAATTCTAAAGAAAACTTTTACTATAACCCGCAACTTGAGACCTGCAGCGCCCACAAGGGGGCGTTGTCCCACGCTATGGGAAAGACTGGTTTTGACCAATAATTTGTTCTTCAAAAAATTCCACTGCGTAAATATTGGTATTAAACACATCTTCTCTTTCTTTGTTTTTTTCATCATCATCATCATCAGCTCACTATATGTCCCCACCGAGGGGCTCGGAGCCTACCCTAAGTTAAGGGTGACTAGGCCATAGTCAACCACGCTGGCCAAGTGCGGGTTGCTTGACTTCACACATATCTTTGAATTTCTTCTCAGCTATGTGCAGATTGCATCACGATGTTTTCCTTCACCGTAAGAACGTCGGATAAATGTACATATGTAAATCGAAAATCGAAAAACACATTGGTACATGGCGGGATTCGAACCCAGGACCTGCAGATTACAAGTCAAGTGCTGAAACCACTGAGCCACCGACGTTTTTTTCATAGAATGACGATATTTTAAACAAACAAATTTCTGCAGTGGAGACCCACCTTTATGTTATCATTATTTTGATAATAGTGCCTGAATATCGAATTATTTGTAGCTTGGCTTCCATGGCATTGGCAAAACATCTTAAAAAGTGTTTGATAAATTAGATTATTTGGGAATTCCAATTTTTTTTTCTACAAGGCTGGTTAAAAAAATGATAAGGACATGCTTAAGTTATGTTCTTTTTTGTCTGTTAAAAGAAAACACTTGTTATAAAATGGGAAATTCCGTATCGTTATAAATGTGTACATATAAAGATTTTTTGGTAAAAAATTGTTGATTTTGCTTTACGATTTAATGTTATGTTTGATATAAATAATTTAGAATTCAAAGTACGGAAAAATATAATAGTTATTTGATCGCCCACGAAGGTTTTCAAAGTGAAAATAAAAAGGAAATTTGGGCATAGTTTTACTTTCAAAATCTTATAAATTAATGTCTAGTAAACTGATATATAAACACGGCTAAACACTCACGTATATACGTAGCCGCTCAGTGAGCGACGGGCCGTGTCCGCGAAATAATACCAGTACCACACATCCTGATGAAGGGTCCCCGATGTGCTCGAAACTAGTCGGTGCCGCCACCGGACGAATGTACGTAAGTGTTTAGCCGTGTTTATATATCAGTTTAGTATAATGTCTCACGAAAGTTTGAATAATTTAATAATGTCTAGTAATCTGAAGTCTCTACTCGGAGCCTATCCTAAGTCACCCGTGACTTGGCTCCAAGCCCCTCAGTGGGGGCGTATAGTAAGCTGATGATGAGTCTGAAGACATTTTGTTGATGAACTTTAGTATCTTAACGATTTAATTTAACAATTATACCTTAAAAATAAAGTTTTGAGTTTTTTTTTGCTTTCATAACACACTAGCGATCGCCTGTGACTATGCACGCGTGTTAAATATTTTAATTTAATTCTATATGTATGCCGACTTTCATTAAGATACGTTCGTCCTGAGATACCTTCAATCAAATATCCATACATTCGCATTTATAATATTAGTAAGATTAGTAAGAAGTAATATTGCATTTCATTAGATTTTTATCGTTATTTAAGTGTAGTAATGCAGTTTCTCGCTTATCGCCAGCCGTCATATTATATTGTATATGTTCTTGCATTCATTACATATAATAAATAGCAGCGGCCATTGTTTTTTTATTTAATTATATCATTGTATTCATTGTATAATGGTTACTTTGTTTTCCTCGTAGCTTTTGTCATGTTTTATTTTTTTTTATCAATATTATGTAAAAAGCCAGTTTTTACATTTATTAGGACTGTTTTTTATTTTTATTTTATTACGTTTCATTTTTTATCTGTTGGCATAATTTCATTAAAATTAAATATAAAGTTTTTGTTTTATCTACAATTAGCTTTTGCTTCGGACTTAGTCAATGCGGAATAAAAAAAAACGTAATAAGTAGCTTGTTCTTCTAGACTATGTTCTACGTCTATGTCAAATATAATTTCATTCTCATTAAAATACGTCAAGTGAACAAACACAAATTAAATCGAATTCTATGATTTTGAATTTATGGTTGAATTTCGATTAATGGGCCCATATGTTGAAGAAATTTTTTTTTTTTAATATCAGAAGGTGGCAAACGAGCGAGCGGCCACCTGAAATCGCTGAAATAGCAAAGTGACCGTTGCCCATAGACATCGACGGAGGAGAGTATGCACAGAAAGAAAATATATTCCCTTTCCATGCATCCTCTCATCCGGAAAGTCCACTTCCACTTCCCATCCTTTCCTTATAAGAAAAGGGTGGGATGGGAAAGAGGACTAAATTAGGCCTCCGGGACGCACACTCATTAGACGAAACGCTGAATTTCTTCCACTTCACGCCTGTTTTCTGAGTGGTGGTGGTATTTCACCGGGCGAACCTGGCCAATTCGTGCGAAGATGTTCAAGCGGGTTCTACCATCCTTGCGGGAACAAAGATGGTTATGTCGGGCTTGCACCGATTAACCCCACGGCGGTCGTCACTCACGAGGGGAGGCGGTATCTCCGTTCGGAACACAACCGCCATCCATTGTTGACTATGGCATAGTCACTTACTCAGTGTAGGCTCCGAGCCCCTCAGTAGGGACGTATAGTGAGCTGATGATGAATATAGGATTAATCGAATCTTTTTGCAAATGAAAGGTCACCTCCAAGGTTCGAATACAAAATTCACTTATAAATGTGATTTGTAGATTCTTTTATAGTAAATATATTTAATTGACGATGAGTTTGCGAGATGCGTCAAGGTGAATATAAAGTCGACAAAATGAACCTGTGAATTTCCATTGTCGAAAAAATATGTAAAGAAACATATTGCTATCTCTGTTTGTTTTAAAGATATTAAGAGGGATGGTGATACGTATTCATATAAAATTTGGTGTGATGATAATTCCTGCAATAAAATCTGAAACTTCTGACCAAAACGATATTATATCGAGAGTCACATGTGTCAAAATTCTACTGAAAATGGAACACAAATTGTACTTACATTAAATACTGGCTGTGATCCGTGACTCAAGCCGCGCGGAATTAAAAAAAAAAAAGTAACCTATGTGTTCTTCCAGTCTATATTCTCTATGTCATGCCAAATTTCATCAAAATCCGTTCAGCCGTTCCGGAGATACCTTCAAACAAACATCCATCCAAATATTCGTATTTATAATATTAGTATTATATAATTATACTAGCGGACCCGACAGACGTTGTCCTGTCTACACGTCTTTAATTTGAATAAATTAATATGAAGTTAATATTTGATGAAAATTGTGAATCTAAACCATTCCCAGATCCCCTTGAACACACACAAAAAATTTCATCAAAATCGCTCCAGTCGTTTGAGAGAAGTTCAGTGACATACACACTCACAGAAGAATTATATATATAAAGATTTAATAATATAAAATATGTAAAACACGATTTAATATCTTGCATAATTTTAATACAAAAATAATAATGCACATAATTAACATATTTTTTCTCTCTTTTTTTCCAGAAAAATGGACGAACGAATCAAGCAAAGGTCAACAATCACGTAAACAGAAAAAAAATAAAAAAATCACGAAATCGATCTCTACAAATTATAAATGAATAAATAATATAAACGTATTTAAATTGAATTTATTAAGTAAATAAACAATATGCCGGCAATATTGACCAAAATACGGGAGCAGGCGTTCAGAGTACAGCCCAGCATCGCTGTAGGCGTGGGAGTGGGCGTGGCACTCGCTGCATGTGCTGTCTACGCCAGGGAAAAGAAACAGCCCCCACCCTGTCATAACAACAATAATTATAAGGTATGTACTACTAGCTGTCCACTGCGAACCTATCACGGAATTAAAAACTTAATTAAAAGACTATGTGTTCTTCCAGATGTTCTACATCTATGTCAAATTTCAGCGAGATCCGTTGAAAGGTTCCGGTCTGATCCTTCCATTCATCAATATATTCACATTTATAATATTAGCAAAATTAATTTTATCTAGGCTGTACCAGGTAGCTTTGTTTGTTTCGGAAGATACCCCGATTTTCAAACATTCCTTCTGGGGGAAAACAGGGTTTTGGGAGACTTGACTCATTAAAATTTCTTCATTGGCCATCTAGTGCCTGGTGCGTTCTTTGAGATCCCAGGTCTCTGGTACCAGGTGCCTACATCTTACTGATAACTAGATATATAATTTCTGAAATTCTTCCAGTAGTTTTTGAGTTTATTCGTTACATACACAAATATGTCGTAATATACGACCGTGAAAGTTCAAACAACTATTATTAATAAAAAAATGCAATAATTTAACGCCATTTAACTTTAAGTAAGCGTCTATGATAAATTGCTTCTAAACGTTTGCTGTAAAAACTATTTGATATTTATTATACTCAATTATAGAAGACTCGCTCGTAAAATAACAAAGAACTATAGATTTTATAGGTTTTTAACGAATTATTATCTGTACTTATATAATAATAATACTTTTATAAAGAGGAAAGATTTGTTTGTTTGCATTATAAAGACTCCAAAACTACTGAACTGATTTGAAAAAATATTTCACTGTTGGGAAGCTACACTATCCCCTGATGACGTAAGCCGTTCCAAAGATACCTTTAAAGAAACATCTATCCATCCATCTAAACATTCGCATTTATAATATTACAAAAATTAGTAAGATAAGATGTGTTTTTTTTTAATTCCGCGCGGCCAAAGTCGCTGGCAACTGCTAGTTATTTAATAAACTCGATCCAAATATACCTTTTTAAGTCAATCATAAGTCATCACTTTGCTTTATACTGTTCCAGGTGGCAAAGAATGGCACACTTCACGCGGTACAGAACGGTGGCGCGGAGGGGCAGACGTGCGGGCGCTGCGGGGAGGAGCAGTGCGCCCTCTGCCGGGGAGACGCCGACACAGATAATAAACAAAATATTGTTAGTACGCAGAGAAGCACAAATAGTCAAGTAGTTAAGGAGATGGACCTTTGATCACGTATTCAAGGGTTCGAATCCCGACTTTGGACTAGTCATGGTCTTCCTAGTTAAGAACTTGGATTGATTAAAAGATGTGACACTTTGAATTTTTTTGCTAGGCGGAGGCAGACGAAGCCCCGACACCTGAGGAGCACGTGCCGGGCCTGAACCTGGAGTTCCTGCGGCAGCTGCTCTCCCTGGTTAGAATCATGGTGCCAGGACTGCGCAGCCAGGAGGTCGCGCTTCTGGCAGCTCACACGCTCTGCCTCTTCTCCAGGACATTCCTCTCGATATACGTTGCCTCGCTGGAAGGGTCTATTGGTGAGTTACAATTACTGATCATACGGCTGGTTCAGATAGACTATCACTTTGTTTTTTTTATGTGACAAGATGGAAAACGAGGTTGTGGCCACTAAGATATCTGTAATAGCAGATGCGTTGCCTTAGCTCGGAAAGAAAGTATTTCCTCTTCCTATACGTCATCTCTTTAAATTCCCTTTCCCATCCCTTCCTTATAAGAAAAGGGTGGGACGGAAAAGAAACGTTCGTCAGATATCATTCAAATCTTAAAGCGTCGTTTTTCTTTCAGTAAAGCACATAGTACAAAAAGACCTGCGTCACTTCACGTCCCTGCTGGTGCAGTGGTTCGGTATCGCGGTGCCGGCCACATTCGTCAATTCAATGATCCGATACTTGGAGGGTCGTCTCGCGCTCGCGTTCCGGACGCGTCTCGTCAACCACGCGTACGAGCTATACTTCAAGAACCAGACTTACTACAGAGTTGCTAATCTTGATGCCAGGATAGAGAACGCGGATCATAGGTAACGTGTCACTGTATCACTCTATAAATGGAACAAGTAAATTCATTATTTTGTGCCTATTTTGATTATAATTTTGGCGCTGATGGTAGCGATATGTAGCAGTGGTGAGGATTCGAATTAATATAGATTAAATTAGCTGTTGCCTGCGACATCGTCTGCACTGAATTAAAAAAAAACTTATTGAGTAATCTATATGTTCCTACAGACTATGTTCTGCATCTATGTCAAATTTTATCATGATCAGTTGAGGCGTTCTGGAGATACCTTCAAACAAACATCCATCCATCTAAACGTTCGCATTTATAATATTAGTATGATTAATTGTTCAACTTTGTTCAACAACAAAATTGGAGCGAAGCAAAGTCAAGCGAGAGCGTCGGTGGCTCAGGTGTCAAGTACTTGACTTGCAATCTGCAGGTCCTGGGTTCGAATCCCGCCATGTACCAATGTGTTTTTCTATTTCTGATTTACACATGTAAATTTATCCGACGTTCTTACGGTGAAGGAAAAACATCGTGATGCTGCACATATCTGAGAAGGAATTCAAAGATATGTGTGAAGTCAAACCACAGTGGGCCAGCATGGTTGACTATGGCCTAATCATCCTTAAGGTAGGCTCCGAGCCCCTCGGTGGGGACGTATAGTAAGCTGATGATGATGAAAAGTCATTTTCAAGCAATCGCCTATCTATTTATAAAGATCAGTCCGTTTTAACCAAGCATTTGTTATATGTGAGTGATTATGTATAATATAATACGTGTATGTGTTTGTATGTAGGCTGACCGAGGACGTGTCAGTGTTCACGCAGTCAGTGGCACACTTGTACAGTTCTCTGACGAAGCCCTGCTTCGATTTACTTCTCATCGTGCTCACTCTAGCTACGTACTCCAACAAGATGAAGGGCAACATCTTCATAGGTTAGTACTACAATAGTTTTTTTTTGTAAATAATATTAGCAGATTTTTATAAATTTACTGACATTTCTTCTACCATTCTAAGCTCTAGACTTTTGCTAGGACATGGTTTACGGCAATAGTCGAGTGGAGTCGAACTCTCGACCTCGTGATCGGAAATCCGTACCATTAACCATTAGATTATTAGCGCTTTTAAAATTACAAATTACAATTTAATTACTTTGAAAATTTTAACATCATCTTTGTAACAGCGCTTATTTCCCTTCCATATGAGTTTTCTCATCCATTAAATCTACTTCCTCTTCCCATCTTTTCATTACGAAAAAACGGTGAGAAGGGAAAGAGGTCCTGCCGGAGCACACATTTGAGGCAGTCTTCTGCGTGATGATTTACGAATTCCATGGTGTTCAGGTCCAGGCATGGCGACAGTGGTGATCTGCCTGACGGGGCAGCTGCTGCGGCTGCTGAGTCCCCGGTTCGGTGCGCTGGCTGGCGAGGAGGCGCGCATGAGGGCCAACCTGCGCCACGCTCACAGCCGCCTTATCACGCACGCTGAGGAGGTCGCCTTCTACGGCGGACACAAGGTAACACGGGGGGCCTTTTCGACCCCCTACTCTTGGAAAACAATAATGTGTTCTTGCATGAATTCATCAGCGCAGATTTAGTATAAGAAGTAGCTATCTTCGAGTCCAAATCCCGTCAAAATCGGTCCACCCGTTCCGGTAATTACCCGGAACAAACACTGTCTTATAGACAGACATACAGACAAACAAAAATTTGCAGCTTTTAATTTGATAAATTGGTTTAACCTTATCAACTATGCATACAGACACTACAATTTTATTAATACGTTGATTTATAAGACAGATAAACAAAACTAAATATCACAAGACAACTGTACTATTTTCCGGCATTAATTGTAGCTAATATCCTGTTCTCAATGATATCCAGATTCGTTAAAACTTCTACATAGTTCTGTGGTAACATACATAAATTTATTATCCATACATTTTGTTATTTTAGAAAGTAATATTGTTGGTATCACGTGTTCAGGTGGAGCTGGGCCAGCTGCAGAGCGCGTACAAGCAGTTGGTGGTGCAGATGACGACGGTGTTCAACAAGAAGCTGTGGTACGTGATGCTGGAGCAGTTCTGCATGAAGTACGTGTGGTCCGGCACCGGCATGGTCATGCTCGCGCTGCCCATACTCACGGGCAGGCGGAGTGATGGTAAGCGACATTGATTGCCTACTAAAAGTGCCACTTAGTATGCACTTAGTGTGAAAATTATACTGCCCCTTCTAACAGATAGGAGGAACGGTTTTAAAAAATCTTACTCTAATATTTTTTGGAATCATTTGTTAACTTAGGTCTGTGACCCCCAAAGGGGTCCAAGTGACCCCCAAAGAAAACAACTTTGGATACCTTGGACCCCTGGAGATCGCAAAAGAGGGGGTATATGGGGTTAAAAAACATTCATGGATTCATTATAAAAAATTTAAACTTTCAAAGGGATCTATAATATACCAAAAAAGTTTGGGAATTTCTAAATTAATACAAGCAGTTATATGGAGCCTGTTTTTTGGTTTTGTTTTGTGTATTTGTCTGTTTGTATGTATAATGTATGTTTGTGTGTGGGTGCAGAGAGCAACGACGAGGGCATCAGCGCGCGCACAGAGTACATGACCACGTCCCGCAACCTGCTCAACTCTGCAGCAGACGCCATCGAGAGACTCATGTCTAGTTACAAGGTTAACACTTCTCTTCTATCCTCTCTTTTTTCCACTGACTAGATAACTATCCTAGGTTCGAATCCTGTCATATACCAACGTGTGTTACAATTTACATATGTACATTTATCCGACGTTACGGTGAAGGAAAACATCGTGATGCTGCACATATCTTGGAAGATCAAAGATATGTGTGAAGTCATGCACTGGATCAATGTTTACTATGACCTAGTCACCTAACTTAGTGTAGGCTCCGATCTCCTCAGTACGTAGGGGACGTATAGTGAGCTGATGATGAAGAAAAAAATAAATTGTTAGACAAAAAACTAACGTTTTTTTAAGAAATACAAGGTCGATTGTTGTTGTTGCAGGAGGTGGTGACGCTGGCGGGGTACGCGACGCGGGTGTCGGACATGTTGGTGGTGTTCGGGGAGGTGGCGCGGGGCCGCTGTGTGCGCGCTGTGCACGCCACCCCCACACACCCCGGCTTCCAGGTCACCTTCCGCGAGCGACAGCCTGTGCCACTAGGTAACCTGTCACTGTACAACCTGAGTACTCTTTTAAAAACTCATTCTGTATATTTTATTAGCGACCCCCAATGACCCCCTAATTTTTTTTAAAATTCATTTTTATGCGTATAAATAAAATAAAATTCAAGCTAAATTTTTAATAATGCTCTGGAACCCCCTAACAGAATCTTGACAACCCCTTAGGGGGTCCTTTTCTCATAAGGAAATGATGGGAAGGGATAGTAGAAATGGCGGAGAAAGGGAAAGGGAGAAGGGCGAAAATCTCTTTCTGTGCGTCTCTTCCATTAATCAAAGGTAGACTACGCATCTGCAATTGCAGATATCCAGCTGACGTTGCGTTGTTTCGTTGTAACATTTGATGTTGTTTGTTATAGGTAAAATAACATATACAAACGACCTGTCAATCCGGCTGAACAATGTGCCGATAGTGACGCCGACATGTGACGTGGTGGCGAGCGGTGTGACACTGCAGCTGGCGCCTGGCACACATCTGCTCATCGTTGGACCCAACGGCTGCGGAAAATCCAGGTAACACTTCGCTGGATACTGTCATCTCTATTTTTCAAAGACAAAGAAAGAGATGACAATAAGAGACAGCTGAAACCCATAATTTCACTGTAGTTTTTTTTAGGAAAAAGCTGATTTTGCTTAAGTGGTAAATCAAGTATAATGTATGATGAGTATTGATTTGTTTTGTATGTATGTATTTCCAGTCTGTTCCGCATAATATCTGGTCTATGGCCCGTGTTCGGAGGCGAGCTGGCGGTGCCGCGTCCCTGCGCGTGCGCACACTGCGCCGGCGAGCCCGCCGCGCCCCCGCACTGCGCATCCAGACCTGTCATGTTCTACATACCGCAGAGGTCATACACACCCATACATACATACATACACACACATACACATTGCTATCTCCTTCTCTTCTAAATTACTTAATATCTATATACACAAAAATTAGGTTAATAATAAGCTCTTTTCTGATTTACCTTTACTAAATAGATGGAAAATTAATAAAAGAATTATGAATTATCCGAAAAATATTCTATTCTATGCTTAAGGAAAAACTAAGTATCGCCCGCAACTCCGTCCATGCAGAATTAAAAATAAACTTAATTAAGTAATGTTAATGTTGTGTCCAGGCCGTACATGTCAGTGGGGTCGCTGCTGGACCAGGTGACGTATCCGTCGCGCGCAGACGCAGCGGACACGGAGGCGGAGTCGCGCGCCGCACACATACTGCGCGTCGTGCGACTGGACGCGTGCGCCGCGCGACTGGGCGGACTGCGCGCCACCGCCGACTGGCGCGCCACGCTCTCCGGCGGGGAGAAGCAGCGCCTCGCCATGGCCAGGATGTTCTACCACAGGTGATCCACCTCCATACATCTACCTCCATACATCCACCTCCATACATCTACCG